GCGTGTGCTATAATACCGTTCTTCCTATCATTACACTCGTGTTTGCTATAAGACAGTTTCCTATCATTACCGTTGCGTGTGCTATAATACCGTTCTTCCTATCATTACACTCGTGTTTGCTATAAGACAGTTTCCTATCATTACCGTTGCGTGTGCTATAATACAGTTCTTCCTATCATTACCCTTGTGTTTGCTATAAGACAGTTTTCCTATCATTACCCTTGCGTGTGCTATAAGACAGTTTTCTTATCATTACCCCGTGAAGTTCAACAAATACACAAGCAGGATCGGTCTTGTCTAGGCGTATATAATAAATATTTCGAGATAACGTACTACGCTTTTCAGCCGCGGCATAGCGGCTCATAGAATGGCTCCGAGTTTTTCAAGTACAAACTTTTAACTCGTAGCTCCGTCATCTCTTGGCCGATTTGAGATCTAATTACAGTTTTGGAGGTCAAACCCCTTTCGATTGATGTATTTGACCACGCCCAAGGTCTCGGAGATTAATTTACTCGAATATTGCCTTAAAAAATTGCAATTTGAAGATAGACTGGTAGAGATCCTAATGAATAGCCCCCCAGTGGCACAGCGGTATGTCTGCGGACTTACAACCCTAGAATCCGGGTTTCGATACCCGTGGTGGGCAGAGAACAGATAGCCCTTTGTGTAGCTTTGTGCTTAATTACAAACAAACAAACCTAATGAGTAATAAAATTGAATCGGGTATACGCGCGCCCCACGCTTGGTATTGCTGGCCAAAAATATAGCTAATAGAAAGGGAAAAAAAGGTCTCAAAGATTAATTTACTCTAATCCTGCCTAAAAGAATTTTAAGTGCCGCGGCTATTGAGGATTCGCTCTTGTTTTTTTTTATTTTTGTAAAATCTAGTCATTATTACAAAACACCCGATTACTCTGATTTGTTTATCTCTTTGTACGGCAAGATTTAACTAGTTCAACATTATATAATACGATGTTCTAGTGATGAACAAGTAAGCAGTCGGATAAAGAAAAAAAATTTTTTTTTTCCCTTTTTGTTATTATTAAATAAAATACCCATAATAAATTAACATACATTTTGAATATTGTTGTTACTTTTAAATTAGTCTCGCTCGTAAAATAAACTAATTAATAGGAGGAAGATTCAGATTAACCATAGAATTACATGGGGTTCCGACCCCAACGGCAGTCGAAACACTTCTAAGCTATTTTTGCACCAAATTGCGCGTGGGTTCATAACTTTGTTAGATACAAGGTCCCGAATAATAGATAAGCCACGAAACAAAATGCAAACAAACAAATGAAATGCCACCAATATTGTAGGCTATCTCCCTCTGACTATTGTTGGTATCTCTCAGTTCTAGCCACACTCTGAACGTATAGTAAGTAACAAACAGAAACATAACATAATCAGTAGGACGTAATATGGGATACTATCTGGTGTGAATAGTGTGAACACTAGTCAAAAATAATCTCTGGTTAAGAAAAATCAAATCAGTGAGGAGTGACTTTTTTGTATATCGTAAAGTAAGAATCCAGATATGCTTTTAGGGAGGTCATGCGCGCGTGTCCTTTAATGTGTCAAATGTCACACGCTACTAATACAATTTTATAATATGACGTCCAACAGATCCTCACGAACTAAATATATGTCTTGGGGTAGCATGGGAACCATCGTTTAGTACATTTCCTATGCTCTCTTAGGGGTAGGGATGGTGACATTTTAACTTACTTGGTCAAGACTGGGTATGACAGAAGTGAAAAAAAACAACCTGATTGCATAATAAAATAATGGTAATATATGTTTCCAGTCTGAAACGTTTCTCAAGCAGTAAAACATTAAACGAACCAGCCAACCAACTTTTTTTTTCTTTTTTTTTTTTGCACAGCCAGAGTGTACAACCTTTCTGCTTGGAACGAGTGGTATTATCGTAGGATTTGTTGTCTTTATGCTTTAGTGAGCAACTGTGTCGCTGGAACGTCGTAATACTGTTATCAGTAATGCGTTTCTAAGTGTCTACAAACTTGAATGAAACAGTAGTTTTATATTGTATGTTCGATGTATTTGTGAAGTATATGCATTTTTCGCAAGATCAAACGGACACAAGTCCTTCATATGTCAATTACTTGCTTTTCGTGAAGGTTTTAGTGTATTCAGATGCTGTGACTTTATCATAATCTCTATGAAAGTAAACAGAATGAAAGAACTATAAAAAAAACATTCAGTCCTCATTACGGCAAGGTCATCGGGCAAAGCTGTACGCATGTGCATGTCAGGGTGGTTGTGATTGACTTGAATGTAAACAGGCCGTGTAAAAGAACTTGTAATTTGCGTATTCTTGTATATGGAGGGGAGGGGGGACCTTGAAATGTAGCATGTGACGTTAACTAAAATTATATATAAAAAAACATAAAGATGTTGTATCATTAGCCGTGCGTAACAACTTCGCTTTCCTCTTGTTGTGTAATGAAATAATACTGGTACTGATAGGAAAACTGTCTTATAGCACACGCAACGGTAATGATAGGAAAACTGTCTTATAGCAAACACAAGGGTAATGATAGGAAAACTGTCTTATAGCACACGCAACGGTAATGATAGGAAAACTGTCTTATAGCAAACACAAGGGTAATGATAGGAAGAACTGTATTATAGCACACGCAAGGGTAATGATAGGAAAAACTGTCTTATAGCACACGCAACGGTAATGATAGGAAAACTGTATTATAGCACACGCAACGGTAATGGTAGGAAAACTGTCTTATAGCAAACACAAGGGTACTGATAGGAAAACTGTCTTATAGCACACGCAAGGGTAATGATAGGAAGAACTGTCTTATAGCACACGCAACGGTAATGATAGGAAGAACTGTATTATAGCAAACACAACGGTAATGATAGGAAACTGTCTTATAGCAAACACAAGTCGACTGGTATCTTGATGATACACACATAACCCTCTGCTAGAAATGTCGAGACTAATCCATTGACTGCTAATTCGCCGTATAGGGTACGGTCCGTCCGCCTCCGGCACCTGAATGCGAGTGTGTCGTTTACGGTGTACGGCTTTCAAAAATTCCACGCGCATTCAGAGCAGCCACAGTCAATGGGTTAAGGTTTCCCGGTGGTTCAGTGGTAAGTTTAAAAATTACAACTCTAAAATACGAAGTTCGATTTCCCTCGGTGGACAAAGTGCCTATAGCTAATTGTGTAGCTTTGTGCTAAAAAAAAAAACAACAACAAGCAAACAATCCAGACTAAAATATGTACATATCTAAACGTAAACTTCAAGACTTGCATATTAAGAAAATAACAGTTTAACCATTGCGGCATATATAGCACCTTAATTAACGTATTGGTTTTATTACTTGCATTGCCGTACGGCAGTTGTAGTTGCTCTAAAACAGGTAGACAATATATTATACTAAAAAACGATAATTTTGAGTTGTGGTTCAGAAGTGGTTAGGAGGTGGCACAACAAAACATACAGACTGATAATTCAGTTTGAAAATAATAAAAAAAGTTAGAATGATCGCTCGGGCTTTGTGCATGGCCTATAGCAGCTTGCAGGCGAATTCCTAAACAGTTTATAAAACCTCGTCTTATTTTTTTATATTTGTTTACTTGTGTGTGTGTGTACTCATCTGTTATCAGAAAAGTTAAAATGAAGAAATCCATTGACATCTTGTGTTGTGTTCTTCATGTACAAAGTATGGAAAAAAAGTATTCCAAAAACAAGCAAAAAAAATGTTTATCGAGAAAGATACATTTGTATGTATGAAGGATACAACTACGTGTATTTATTGGTAATAAATAATATGTTTAATTAAAAAATACCGATTGTTTAGACAACTTTTCACCCTGTTAGCAGCAAAATCTGGGCCTGGCATGGACTGGTGGTGAAGGCGCTCGACTCGCAATCTGTGGATCACAGGTTCGGATCTAATCAACGAATATGCTAGCTCTTTCAGCTTGTAATGTGACGATCAATCCCATTGTTCTATTACAGTATCCCAAATGTTGGCGGTGAGTGACGTTGACTAGCGGCGACCTTCCCTTTAGCTTCTAAATTAGGGATGCTTAGTGCAGGTGGCCATCGAGCAGCTTTTTGGTAGTTTTGATTATAAAAAAAGTTAATGATCAGGGGCACATTAAAAACAATAAATACGAATGATAGAAAAAACATGATTATCAAAGAAAGAGACTGTAAGTAATCAACCTGGTTTTTATGTTATCAGTAACACAGTAAAACCTGGTTTTTATGTTATCAGTAACACAGTAAAACCTGGTTTTTATGTTATCAGTAACACAGTAAAACCTGATTTTTATGTTATCAGTAACACAGTAAAACCTGGTTTTTATGTTATCAGTAACACAGTAAAACCTGGTTTTTATGTTATCAGTAACACACAAAATATCTTTATTTTGTAATCAGAAATGGAATACAAAAATGTTCCACAATTTATTCCACAGTATTCGGCTGAGTGTTTTTACTAGTATTTATTAGCAATCAAACGATACTGACACAAAATTCTCGAAATGCGTCAGGATATGTGTTAGAATTGCTTAGGGCGTTTGGTTTGATCTAAATTTCGCGCAAAGATACGCTAGCCATCATTAATTTAGCAGAGATAGACTAGAAGGAATTCAACTAGTCAACACCACCCACTGCCAACTCTTGGGCTACTCTTTTACCGATGAATAGTGAGATTGACCGTCACACTTTAATGCCCCCAAGGCTGAAAGGGCGAGCATTCAAACCCGCGACCCTCAGATTGCCTCAACTACCAGGCCATGCTAATGGCAATTGAAGAGCTAACATCACAAACGTTTAAGTTAGGAATAGTGTGTTATATTTTACTTTTGTAAAACAATATTTGCTTGTTTATCTAAATTAAGCAAATCATTTTCCTTTACACACTCAACAAGGTTTATTTCGTCAGTAAACACAAGCATCCATTAAGGTGACGTCAGCTTTCTTTAGTTACAGTGATTACCTATGTCATCGAGTAAATTATGTATAAAACCTGGTCCAGAGAAGTCTGTGTATCTTCTTGAAAGTCTGATTATATTAATCTTAACATCTAACAAGCGATAGTTCTCGAATCTCCTATACGCTTTTTACACCCTACCTATATTTCCACCTATCTAACAAACTTCAGAAACTGGACGGATTCTTACCAATGATCCTTTTCGGTTCCTTCCTACATGAAACTACGACGTATTACGAAATACGTCGGGTCTAGATACCCAAGACAGTGACGAGCCCATCTCCACTAAAGTTAGATGTGAATACCGAGATGCACTGCTGCATACGGTGTCTAAACGTCTGTAGCTGCCACAGACGTTAACTGAAATGAAAATGCTTCAAGGAATGGATACCACGAGACATTTAGTTCATTATGAACTGGAAAAAAAAAGTTCCCTGGACGTGCTGATGTGAAATATCGGCCTGTATGGGCAGAATTAAAATCACTCTTCAGTTCATGTCAATTTTGTAAGAGTTTCTAAATGTAACCGCACGTGGAATCCGCCTCCTAGGACTTGGTTGAAAGTTCGGAACTGTATAAATCAACACATTAATTAACTGTATACAGGGAACTCCATATAAGGGCTGCATCTCATTAGCTGCTCATCATAGCCGCAAATTCAAGATGTCAACTATCATTGTGCCAAGAATGACGCGAAGAAAAACAGAAAGCTATCATGTTGGACAATAAATTTCACTAATTACTGTTTGCTACAGAGAGATAGACCTGGGTTTGATAACACCATAGAGTATGCTTTAGATATGATTATTTTGTGTACAGTCGGGAAAATTGGCAGGGCAGTATCTTGGATTGAGCCTGTTTAACTAGTCTGTCATTGTTCCACTGGTAAGAGTTAAGAGAGCCGTGAATACCTTATCATATTTTTATATTCTGGATGACAGGCTGCAAGCACTAATGAAAATCGTAGTTTTCAGTAACCGTAATGGGCCATTTTACTCAGTTCATTTTGGGGCAACGCCTAAAAGAAACGAGAAATTCCAAAATATCACCATATTTGAAGCTATTTCGATAGGGGGGGGGGGGGGAGTGACGTTCTATTCCACCAGGTGTGTACCAACGATTAGTAGTAAGTGTCACTAACAGAATCCAGGCTATGATTAACATGTCTACTCCTAATTAAAATGGACCATAACGGCGAAACATAAGATATGTAATATATACTCATGATGTACTGTCCAAACACTTTCTGTAATGTAACATCTGTGAAAATTTAGCAGCTTCTGGCTTACCGTACAATGGAGAGTGAACATCATTACTTACGTTCGTGAGATAATCCCAGAGAACAACAAATATTTCACTAAATCTAAAGAAACCTAAGGTATGGTAGGACAAGTTACAAATAACAGTATTAGATATACGATTATTAACTTCACGACACAAAAAGTAATTTAATCAAAAGGTAAGAAATATATTGTTGCGTCATCGAGGTGACGTGACTGGTGTGGCGCCACCTATTTTCTAGAACTATCCTGTACCTTGGCGAATGCTCTAGTATTTACTAGATATAGGGTAGTCTGGTATATAAAAGAGGGTGACAACGTGACGGGGGAATAATGTGTGTGTAGATAGTGAGTAATTGAACTGCAGTCAGAAGTATTATTGACGTTCGTTGATATAGCGTTTGTTTTAATGCGATTGTTGAAAATAAGTGTATCGTAAAGTTGTATTCGGAAAAAATAAACCAGTTTTATTAAGTAAGGATTTGTGTCGCTAAAGTTTCGTCGGAACGAAGTTACGGAAAGTTAATTAACAAACGGAAACGTAACAATATTGTACCTGGCCGTGGGCCTTGTATATCTTGATCATCATTGCACCATATCTTTCACTTTGAAGCTTCTCATTAATGCATGTTATATTTAACACTATTTTCAAGTGAAAAGGCAGCTTCCGAAATTAAATCTTGAACACACGTGTAATTTAGCTGAAACACGTGACATTTAACCTAATTTCAGAAATGTTTAATCTTTTGTGTGAGGCATCCTACGCTAACTTTAGAAACCGAGCAAGAAATGAACATTTGTGCAGTTTCTTCGAGTTCACAATTGAAAGCATACATTAATAATCATAGTGTAACAGAATGTGCGCAATATCACATAGGGCAGATGTAATGAAACTCGCGCATGAAGTCTTTTTCTGTTTCAGCCAGTGTTCTACAGAACAAATATCATGTATTCACGAACATGGTGATAACAATCTAAACGAGACTTCTGACTCAAGTAATGAAGGAACGATTCAAACAGAGTCCCTGTGTGTGAAATGTAATGAAATAAGCATGAGTTAAAAATGAAGACGCCATTAGTCTCTTCAACCAGTACTAAACCATGATTATATGTACAATACGTATGGGTATCGGGTTGCGTTATGTCTTAACCGCAGTACATTAAGTAGGGGAATGTCGGTTCACACGAAATTAGGGCATGCCATTCTTCATGACATTTTATTTACACTGTATTTTGTTTTTATAAGGAACATTATGACAGACTATTGTATCTACATGTTTAAATGATTTTTTATCTCTATTTACAGAAGAAACTCCGTACAGTCACACAACTTTCTGTCGTTCTTCATTCGAACTCTGATGACCAGACTTCAAAGTGAACTAACTACCAGTACTACTGCTAACTGTATGTTCCATATAAGCGTTTCTCCGTTGAGCTTCTATAAACTGTCTTGTAAAAATGTAAGAATGTAGCCAAACAAACAGACCCCCTATTTTTTTTTTGTTGTATGTTCTTGTTGTTTTCCGTTGGACGATTCAACAAGTCTTAAGTTATTAGGATGGCTTTGTTTATGAGTTTTAAAGAAGCGCGCAAAATACGAAAAAGGTATGGATAGACATCCAGAAGTTTCCGGAAAATGTTTACAACATAAAATTTAATGCAAGAAACCAGTGGTAAAGTGCATCAAAGTGTACTCAGTGCCAGAAACACACACACAAACTTGTAAAGTTTTACTTAATCACGTGCAACATATGAAACCTGCTGTAACAAATTTCCAGAGAAACTCAAACCAACACATGTACGCGGACACGTACGTTTAATGATCTTGAAATATGGATCGGAATTCATAAAGAACAACAGCATTACGTAATGGTAAGACACCAATGTAGAGTGAAACACTGGCATGATTTAAAAGCAAAGCATTAATTACTAACATTTCTATGTAACAGGCTGGAATAAAAACCCCAATAAGCTGTAACACAGAGTAGATTCGATGTTTTACTTAGTCATAAAATCTAAAGATTGCTCAAGATTGACGTTTCGGCACATCTGCGCTTACCTTCTTCAAAAACGTAGGTGTGCCGAAACGTCGGTACTATATATTCTAAAGTAATTTCCATTAAATGTTAACAACGAGTCAATTGTTACCTAGCAACTCTTCTCCAAGGCCAGAGAGTTTCAAGCGGGAACTAACATGGGCAATTCTACAAAGATGTGACCAGTTTAACTTTTCACGACATGTCACAGCAGAGTAGGTCAGCGTGTAGAACATAACGAAAGTAGACAACTACACAGAAACCAATGTCCAGTAACCTGCAAGATCGCTGTGTGACGAAGTGGTGGAGATTCAGAACATTCATTACATTGTGACCTACTTATTGAAGTATTTTAATTGCATCTTCCTGTTTGTTTGTTCGTTTCGAAGAAACTGCCAAAACCAACGCAGGCACCACTGTATACGTAAAGTTGTTGTTTGTGTATACACATATGTAACTTTGTTGTAATTCCAACAAACTTTAATTGACCCTAGTGGCACAGCGGTATGTCTGCGGACTTACAACGTTAGAAACCGGGTTTCGATACCCGTGGTGAGCAGAGTACAGATAGGCCTTTGTGTAGCTTTGTGCTTAATAACAAAAACTTTAATTAATTAATTACTACTTGGTTAAAATTCCACTTTGTAATATACCAAATATACTTCAAATCTAACGAAACGACGATGAAAATATATATATATATGTTCAAATAATAATAATGCAACACTACCAGTACCTCCATCTACGAGATACAAACAATATATTTAAATAAACCATCACAGCCACGTGTATAGACAACAGCGTCGACCTTGAAATTTTCCCAAAATAAATAAATGTGCTTATTTATTGTTGAAGTAACGATATACAATTTACGTGACATTAATATCAAACCAGAAATTTCCATAAACCTTCCATACCAGCAAAAGTAATTGGGCTTCACTGTGATCTTGATCTCAGAAAAGTTTGTTTGTTTTTGAATTTCGCGCAAAGCTACACGAGGGCTATCTGCGCTAGCCGTCCCTAGTTTAGCAGTGAAAGACTAGAGGGAAGGCAGCCAGTCATCACCACCCACCGCCAACTCTTGAGTTACTCTTTTTACCAACGAATAGTGGGATTGACCGTCACATTATAACGCCCCCACGGCTGAAAGGGCGAGCATATTTGGTGGGACAGGGATTCGAACCCGCGACCCTCAGATTGCAAGTTAAGCGCCCTAACCGCCTGGCCTTCTCAGAAAAGCTCGTAGTTTTAATGCCACTGGACAAAAGGGTTTTACAAGATTCTTCATGCACTATCTAAGTTATTTCGCTATCATCGCATAACAATAATCATCAACATTACCTGGTGTGTATATACATGACAGAGTTAAAGGATGAAAATGCTGTATATCTCTAAGAAAAGGTTAACTGAACTAGTGGTGTGTAAGAATGCTGAAACCATATACCAACTGTATTGGTTAGAATGTTTAATACACGTAATTTTTTATTCTATTTTTATTAAAGATTGTTTTGCATAATTAGCTTGATATATATATTTAAGACTAACCTAAATTTCCTAAGCTGGCTGAATCTCATGAGATATTGTTGGGTTTACATTTGTAATTATCAATAACCACGATGGTACCCAAATGATGAAACAATACATTCTAAATAGTTAGAATTAAAAATGTAAAAAAAAGTATACTTAATTAGCTTCATGCACTATCTAAGTTATTTCGCTA